TTTTTTTTTTTTTTTTTTTTTTTCTCCCCTGCTTGGAACTTATGTGAGCTTACAATTTATATAGCTCATAAATTATAATATTATAGCTCATCATTTATATTTTACATTTATGTCTGCTCTTCAGTTCGTGCATGAATTAAATTATGGTAATTTAGATTTAGTCATGTTTGTGAGTAGGTTTGAGTCCTGCATGGAAAAACATTGACTGTCTAGACATTTAACCTATTGTTAATTATAGTTCTTACTCCCTTTTACATTAAATAGTGGTATTTGTGTTCTATGATATATTTTTTTTTCATAGTAAGTCCTAACAAGTGGGACAATATTGCAAGACTGTAGCTGTATGAAAAAGCAGATTCTGGAAAACAGTAATTTCTTTAAGCCTCTAAGTGCTTTTTCTCTCCCCCTCCAGACTAGCATTAACAGCATGCTGAGTGTATATAGTGAAACTGGTGACTATGGCAACGTGAAGGTCAGTGGTGAAATCCTTCTCAACATCAACTACAGCTACAAAACAGGTGCCCTCAACATCGTGGTGAAAAGTTGCAGAAACCTGGCCATTGCAGATGAGAAGAAGCAAAGGACCGATCCGTAAGCACAGAGAAGAATTTCCTTAAACTCTGCTAGGGGTGTCCTCTACCACGTCATGTGCTGTAGTTTGAGGCGATATGAGCCTGAGAACTCATAGGATCCAGCTGCTACAAGCCAGCATTTTGATGATAGGGTTTTAGATTCCCTGTGGGAAACGCATTTTCAATATGTTTCTTAGGGTTATGTGTGCCTGTTCTGGGGAAACAATAAGATTATTTAAAACATCAGCCTGTTTGACAGTAAAAGGGCAAAAACCATGAAGCAATAGGGAGGCTGAATTGATTTCTTCTAGAATGAAAACTAAAGTATATGAGAGGAGTGAGTTTTGGAGGGAGGGAGAGATTGAGTTAACTTTGGTTTCATGCATCCATAGATTAACTTTGTAAGAACCATGTTTTCTGAGCTTCTCATTATAGTTTTCAGTATAATATGTACATTCTCTCATCAGGAAGTAGTAATTAGTGTCTCTAATAATGTGCGATCCTATGGTATGTAACGTATGAAGTTTTTGATTCTCTTATATTTTCAGAGTATGTGTTGTCATATGTAACCAGTCAGTAATTGTATAGTACAAAAGGGGCAGTGTTAGGAAAGTTTTCTGCATTTCTGAAGATAAGTAAATTAATTTAGCTCTGCCTTTTGTCATTCTGATCCTATCTGACTAACATTGCTATGTTTATAGATGAAGACCACACCTTTCCATGTCTCACATATCCTCTGTTACATATGTACATTGTTTAGACTGCAAAAATTAATTTCTTCGTATGTGTTGTTGATGTAGCAGGTCATTGCTCAAACTAGTCATTATTATTCCTTGCTAATAATTTACTACTTGATCTGCAGATATGTCAAAGCATACCTTCTGCCTGATAAGTCCCGCCAAAGTAAGCGCAAGACCAAAATTAAAAGTAACAGCATCAATCCAGAATTTAATGAAACGCTGAAGGTGAGAACACTGTCTCTCTCTCAGGCTGTGATGAATGTTCCGCTTGTGCTCACAGGCATTTTCTATGTGTGTTCCAGTGTGAGGATTAGAATTTGGAAGAGATACCTCAAAAGGGAATGTATTTAAGCAAAACCATCTAGTAATCCCATGAGTTATAATTTCTGGCTTTCAGCATTGAGGAATTGTTTTTGTTTGGTTCTCTCTTTTACAGGTAAAACTTCTATTAGTTTCCATAGATATCTTTCAAAACTATTGATATTCCCATCTAACCTGAGCTCAAAGATGTTAAAAGCATGTCCTAGAAAGCTGTGGAGAAGTTCTTTTTCTGTTGCAAAAGACAATGACAGATTACTTCCTTGAGGACTGGTGAAGGAGAGCACTCAGGCTCTTCCTTCCTTGCCTTTTACCTGTGTCCATTATAGAGGCTGAACTATTTCGAGCTCCTCAGGAGCTGCTTATTCACCCCCTTGGCTCTGTGGTGCAGGTGGGAATGGCAGAGTTTCTGCCCGATTCACTGCCTGACTGGCATCTAGACCACAAGGCTCCTGGTGATTCCCTTTCCTTGTCAGTTGATGAGAATTATCCCAGCTGGCTGTCATGACGCCAGAAACTCTTTTGAAACTCTTTTTAGTTTCTCCTGAAATATACTTCTTTTTTTTTTGTAGTAATTTCAATGATGTTTCAAATAAGCTTCTTATAATAGAGACTAATAGATGTTCCCTGGCCAGTATACTTGGCTTAACCTGGCTACAAAACCATTTTGCAGACTCACACACAGTTGGTCTGGCCAGACTGCTTGCCAAGGGAGAGTCTGTTGTATAGCCTCACTTTTAAATGGTTTATAGTAAAGTTAAGACTTGCCTGAACTGGGAAAAAAAAAAAAAAAAAAAAAAAAGAAAAAAGGTGTTAGATTCTATTTAGCAAGGAACATAGCACTAAACATGTTTGCTAGTAGGGAACTCAGTGAGGATAGGACCTAGCAGCTTGCTAAAATGTAAACTGTAACAAAGAGGGCTTACTTGAATTGTGGGTAGATAAGCAAGAGCTACATCTGTTTGTCCCAGCTGTTAACTACTGTGAGGAAAGAAAAATAATTAAATCTGTCTGTATCATCCCTCTTTGACTTTTATTCCATTGTTGCTAAATATGACATCTCTCACAGTGGAACTGTTGGCATCTAGGATTAAGCATTGTAGACATACCTGTACATGAATAGCCTACATGTGTGGCTCGTCAACTGACTCGACTGTTTCAGCTTGTGGAGAATATGTTTCTGTGTCCAGACGTTGTTCTTGATGCAAAAAAGAAGACATCTGGGTCTCCTCAGCTAACACTAGCGGAAGGGCGAATTTCAAGGAATTAATGGGCCTTTTGCTAAAAGCAGAATGTGCAGAGCTAGAATTCCAGATGTTTGTAATTTTCTGTGTATTTGCTAGAATATGATGTTTCTTCAGAGGAGTTTTTTAACTGTTACTGAGATGTTTGGTGAATGCTTTGCAGATGCAGTTTTACTTGTTTTCAGGACAATTTTCCTGAGTTACAAAGATAAAACTGAAAAGGAGAAAAGAACACTTATTTCTAGAAAGTAGCAGAAAGCAGACTCTCTTTAGGGATGAAAGAACTGGTGGGGTTTCATCTTACAAACTAAACTTCGATGTTGATCTGCTTCTTTTACATAAACTTATGAGGAATTAACAGGATCATAGTTTTAAGCATTGTAATTTACTTTATAGTCATAAATACCCAGTAACTAATAACTAATACAGAAAAAAACACAATCATGATAGTAACGTTAATTACCATTGGATGCATACTGCAAAGAAAAGACTTAAGTTTAACATGAACATTATGAGCTTTCTAGCTAGATCAATCTTGTTTGCAAAGAAAATAAATCTCTCTTTCATGCTTCATTTATTAGCTGCTGTGGGCTTCATGAAATTGAGCTAGAGCTGAAAAAGACTCCGTAGAAACTATTATTTATGCTTATTCTGAGAGTTTCTCTTTCTCTTTTTCTGTTGGTAGTATGTAATCAGTCACACACAGCTAGAAACCAGGACGCTGCAGCTTTCTGTCTGGCACTATGACAGATTTGGACACAACAGCTTCCTTGGGGAGGTGGAAATTCCATTTGATTCCTGGGACTTTGAAAATCAGAGCGATGAGTGGTTTGTGCTCCAACCCAAGGTAAGGGTTACCAGGGGCTGGTGAAAGGGTTGCAAAGCCAATTTAGCAAGGCTTAGTTGTTTTTCCTTTGGAACGTGTTTATGAAACAGTGACTTTATGGGTATCCAATATGGTAATAAAAATAGTATCTTTGTTCTTTATTCAACCAAAACACACTGGTTTTAAAGTCTTCATGAAAACTTTATACATGATTGGCTGCTTAAAAACAAATGACCCCCCCACCACCACCTTTTTAAATAAGCTATGTTTGTCTTGTAACAAACTGCGTGGAGAAATGACCTAGTAAAGAAATCGATTATTTTTTAAAAATGGCTCATAAACCAAAGCACTTTTCTACCACTCTCCCCTACCCAACCCTTAACAGTTTATGAAAGAAATGGATTTTTTTGTTGTTTTGATTCAAAGTGCTTCACACTTTTCAGCTCTGACAAGATGACTTATTAATCTCTTATTCACCTTAACTAGAAAGGTACAAGATAAGGCTCCTCTGCAGGCAAATCAATTGGTCTGTGAAACAGGACTTCCATTGTACTTAGTGAAGGATAGGATGCCTTCTGTCTCTAGGGCATCCCCTGCTCTGGCAAAGGTGTTTATTTTTGGAAGAGATTCAAAGAGCTATTTTAAGCTAGAGGATTAAAGGCTTCTGCCTTGCTTGCTCCTGCAGCAGCCAGAATCCCCAGAAATTCCAGTGGTTTATATTGCCATTTCAGAAAGTGTATTTTTCTTGCTGCAGAAAACTTCAAGGTTTTACTGCAAGTGATGTGGAGATAGACTCAGATGACTTGTTCACTGTGTTCATGGAAGGGGGGTTGGAACTAGATGATCTTCGAGGTCCCTTCCAACCCAAACCATTCTGTGATTCTATGATTACTTTTAAGGAACTAGCATTACTTTCAGGGTTTTAGGAGGGAGTGTTTGATTTGTGCCATTCTTTCAGGTGAGTGATGGATCTGATTGCTGTATAATTAATTTCTAGGTATAGCCCTTTGTGATGCTTACATCTAAACTGACACAAATTTATATTTTAGTAAATAATTTTCCAGGAGATGAATAAGGAAATTGGTCTCTTCTTTGAACACTGGCACACCTCATGCTTTGTAAGTGGCAAGGAAAATCATTCCCAGTTTCCTAGTTCAGTTTTGTTACTAAGGGTGACCACTAGCTCCTCCTTCATGGTCCAGCCAAGGTGGCACCAGGAAGAGAAAGTAGCTGATGATGGCAAACATGTTTCAGTCAGCACTGTGTCCAGAACAGGATTATACCATCTGTACAAGCTTGCTTCTTGTAAGTTACTTTCGTTGGGTCTGTTCTTGAAGTAGAAGAAATGTTTACCACATCTCCATTATAGCTCTGGCTGGTGTCAGATGCTTTTTAGTGTCCACCGATTTACAACAAGATGATGAACATCTAGTATTTGTTTTGCTTGCAGTTTGCATGCAACTTTGGTCTGGAATTTACCTTCTTATCGTGCAGTAGTCTCTTTGTGATCTCATTTCAATCTTCAGGGTTTTGTGTGTTCCTGGGTGGTTTCTTTTAATCCTAACAGGGGAAAAAAGGTCACGAAGCTCTCCTGCTCGGGCAAAAGGAATGAGGCACTAAGCATTTCAGCCATTCCAGCTGGAAGACGTTGTCTGATTATTTCCAAAACCATTAAAAGGATTTTTAAATGAGTTCTTTTTTTTACCAAAGAAAGCAAACACAGAATTGGTCTTGTCTGCCTCCTAAGTTGTTATAAATAATTTTTCTAAACTTAAAATGCTACTAAGATTTTTGATCAGCAAAGACAGTATATTTTTTAAAAATATCAATTATTACATTTTAATTTTTTTTAAAAAAGCATAGCTTAATACACATACAAATTTCATGCTTTTCTTCCATATCATCTGCCTGATAGAGACAGGAATGGCAGTGAAACATTTCCTGGATTTTATTGCAGCACTTTATTTATTTTATCATGAATCATTTAGCAGCTTTAGTGAAAAGGTTGGAGATTTTAAGACCTGTTTCTTCTATGAGCATTGAATGTCTGTTTTCAAGAGGAATGTGGTTAAATCAGAAAAAGAAGAGAAAATAGTTCTGTGGTTAAAGAGGAGGCAGAGTCTAGAGCCATGTTATACGTGGCGCTGCGGGGGAGGCTGACAAATTGTTCCTGACATAAGAACTTATGCCATCGCTTGTCCACCAGTAGGACAGAAAAAATAATCCTTGCTGCCTTTATGGAAAACTTGATTCTGAACTGGCATAGTTTAGCCCATAAGTTGTCTGCCTGACTGGCAAGATTTAGATGTTGTGCAAATTATTCCACAGACATTTACTACAGATTTTCTTTTATTCTTGATTCTAGCAACTGGCATCAGACAGTGGTGGAGACAGGACCGTTTTTCTCCGAGTCAGCGCAAGGATGCCTGTGTTGCTGTAAAAATGCTTCAAAGTCTCAAAAGGGCGATGCTGCTATCGCTAAAATTGCTTTGTTCCCTGTTGCATCCTTGTATGCAGACTTAGCCCCACCAAGCATGTATATAGTGCCTTAGCATAGAGCCTGTGATATGAAGACAGTGCTGACTGTGCATATCACCATATGTGTACTTCTGGTGAGGGTTTTTTGGTTCTGTTTTGTCTTGATAATAGAATTTTGACCTTCCTGGGGAGACAGGGAACAAGATGAAGGCATTTCAGAGAAATACTTCTGTCACAGATCAGACATTAGTGTATAAGCAGTTCTTTACAGGCTTGTGTGGTGCCTTGGGGGGTGTGTGTGTCTCAGCACTCAAGAGTCCTCTCTCTTTATACATGTGCTTTGTCTCTGTTAAGAGATCAGGAAGAGTTGTTGATTTGTACTCAAACCTAAGCACTGAAGCATGTACAGAAATCTGAGCATCTGAGTAGACCTACCTCCATTAGTGGACAACATTGCACAAGGTTAGCATAAGCCTAAGTTTTTCATAGACCTGATCTCTAATGTAAACGTACAAGACTTCTTTTTTCACTGCACTTTATTTTTCTAGAAGTCAGTTTGAACTGGCATAACATGTTCCCCCTGTGTTGCATCTATTGTTTTTTAAAATGTGATTTCCAACTTTTTACCACATGAATGAAAGTTCAGCAGACATCAGTGAAGGCCTAATGTTCTTTTAACAAGGATGCTCTGAAGAGCACTCAGTACATTCCGTCTGGGCAAGAGTCAAACATTTATAAAACAAAAAGATGCAGAAATAGTAGCTGTGTAGAAAAGGAAAAGGACACTGGAATAACAGTTTTCAAGAAGTTTTTCTATTTCAGAGCTGGGCAATGCTCTCTTCCCTTGCCTTCGTTCCCCACACCTCTATTCCAAGAGTGACTCAGAAGTGACTCCTCTAAAATACATGAAAGCAATTATGGTTTAAAGTCCTGATTGAGGGAAATAAGGACTGAATGTCAGCTTAAATCAGCTACAGTTTATATGTCTAGAAATGAGTTTGAGGGTTTTTTCTGTTTGTTTGCTTCATGTCTGCTAGATATCTCTCTCCTCTGTTCACTGAAGAGTGTCTAATGCCACATGGCTTTATTCTTCTGAGAGCTGTTGTTCCCTAGCTCATAAAGTTTTCTAAAATGTGATTGCATTCAATTCGGAATGTCTAATTATCTGAAAGTGGGCTGGTATGTCTTGATACATTTCAGCAGTGTTTCAAATGCTATATTAGTTTAACAAAATTAAAATCAAAAGGAGAAGGTGAATAATTAACCTTAGCTGGATTTCTGGTTCTTTTGTTTGTTTTTTCTTTTCAGGTGGAGGTTGTGACAGATGTTGGGTTTCAATATAAAGGAGAACTGACAGTTGTTTTACGTTACATTCCCCCAGACAGAAACCTAATGCTTCCTCTAGGGCAGTTTCAAGGTAAAACAAACATTAAAGGTGGCATGTGATAACATCTCTCTGACTATTAAAAATCCTCACCTAGGGTGAAGGAATGGTATTAGTGAAGATTGAAATCATACTTAAACATGCTAGTTGTCTTTATCTGTGGAAGTTTTGAATCTTGAGTGGGTTTCTGCTGCTCAGTCCTCTCCTCTTGAACTTAGGGAGAGAGAAGGGGAGTGTGCAGTCAAGTGTTGATGCATGATTGTGACCTAATTAAAAAAAAAAAAATCAGACGTTAAATCACATGATCAAGGACACCCACATAGAAATAAATTGTCTACATCATAGTCTGTGGGTTCTTTGTTCAGCTAGTTCTATGCAGTGTATATCTGATTGAAGTTATAGATGTCATTTAGTTCTTCATCCTTAATTGTCCTTAAGCTTACCTATCTCCTCATTTTCACTCTTTTTCACACTGCTTTACCTCTACTCAGTTTTACTGTATTACTGCTCTAATTCAGTCATGTAAAATATTAGGGTAAGCCATTATTTTTATCAACAACGAACAGGGGAAAATAGTAACTCTTCACACTGTAGTAACATGAGAAATAGCAATCATCTGAAGTGAGAGCAATCACTGGGTAGCATCTGAGTGTACATGGATATACTAGACACAGATATATCCCTGTCTTAGTGACAGTGTTGCTTGTTAGTATTAGGATTTGGTAGATGTATTACACTTTTTTCGTTTTCTTTCTTTTTTTTTCCACAGATGATATTGCCTCTGCTAGCAGTAATTCTAAGGTTTTCTCTCTTAAACGCTAATTGTTGTCTGAGTAGTCTAGATATACTCTATTTGCATTTTTTAAATTAGTACATTTTAACATCACTCCTGATATTTTTTTCTGATGTTTTCAGCCTGATCAGTGTGTATGATTCCTCTTGATAAGCCTCTTAGAATCTGCAGCAGCAGCAAGTACACGTGTCCTCATGCTGCTGTTCAAAAGCAATAGCTTGTCAGTGAGCACCACGTCCTTTGTCATGGTCTCCTAAGAGCACTGCATGGAATACATGTGGTGTATTTCTGCATTTTAAGCTTTGAGTCAGAGGTTTTATACCTTGCTTGTGGCGTCTTAGGTGTCTTAACTGTTTAACATCAGTGGTGGAAGTGGATTCTGACAAGAGGGCAAGACTTACAGGACATACAGTTCTTTGTCAAATGGTCAAGTTCTTTATTAAATGTGGAGTGATTTTTTGCCCCTGCCTGATTAGTTTCTCTACCCACAGAAAATCAGGATCTCCTCATAAGAAATACTTTAATCTCATTGCAGGAAATGAGTGAAAGAATCTAACCAAGAAAACTTAGATTTCCAACTCAGTCTTGCAGTGTATATATAATTTCGGAGGATAATGTTGCAATTCTATTCTATATATAGGAAAGAAGAGCTTTAAAAAAGGAAAGAAGGGAGCCTCTCACATGCCATCTGGAGGTATATTAGAAGTCCTCATCAAAGAAGCAAAGAATTTAACAGCAGTGAAATCAGGAGGCACATCTGACACTTTTGTGAAAGGGTCTGTGATTTTATTTTTTTTGATCCCCTTGTTTTTAATGGCTAAATTGAATTATATTTTGGCTGACTTTTTTTTTTCCAAATGTATCTGTACATATGTGTATGGAGTTTCAGTTCTGAAAAGCAACTGTCATATTGAAATGGTATGCTGAAGAGAAGGACATTATGGAATAAGGGCAGAGAGGTCTGAGTTGTCTCAGTGGTTAAATAGAACTGTTCTTAAATACCACTCAGTCAAGAACCAGTTTGTAATTCATATCACTCCATTCCACTCCAGTCACCATATCACTCCATTCATACATAAGTATCTAGTGTGCTAATGTGCATGCTGTTATAGAATATGTTTGCTGAAAGAACACACTTCCACTGAGTTGGCAGAGAGTGAATATTCATCACTCCTGGAGGCAAAAAATTGTAAATTACGGCGCTCACACTGGAGATGATACCTGATCTGATGGTGACATTTACATTTTCAGGAAATTGAAACAGTACATATTTTTTTACTAAGAGGAATAGCCACACTACGTCCTGAATTAGAAATTTGTTTTCAGGAAGACACAGTCTGTTTGGATTCCTTGTAAAACTGCAAATAACACTTACAAAAGCTGGCATGCTCCATCCAGCTGAAGTTCTTTCTAATGAACATCACCTGAAACATACAGAAAGAGACAATTTCGTATGCATGTAAACAAATTCTATTTTGATTCAAGTAAATATGTTAAATGAAAAAATATTTTCCTCTCTTATATTATAAATAGTTGTTTTTTTTTTCTGGTACTTAATGGGGAAAGCTCTTTGACAGTGTCGAGGGGCACATTTAAACACTGAGGGTTCCCAGGAAGTCTATGACTGACTTCACACGTAGTGTCTTAACTCTAATTGTGTTTCATAGTTGTTGTGGTTTTAGGCCGATCCAGCAACTAAAACTCACACAGTCGCTCCTTCTCCAGTAAAGTGGAGAGGAGAAAAATATAATAAAGGGACTGAGGGTTGAGACAAGAACAGAGGGAGCACCCACCAACCATGGTCCCGGGCAAAACAGACTGGGTTTTCTTAAAGAAAAACAGTTTATTAATGGTTACTTAAAAGGACAAAGGGAAACAAAACTGGTTACTTGAGAGGATAAAAAGAAACAAAGCCAGATCTTAAAACCGACACCTTCCTTCTCTCCCCCCCCTTTTTCTTTTCCTCCCGGCTCTACCTCCTTCCTTCAGTGGTTCAGGGGGCAGGGACTGGGGGAGTGCAGGTCAGTTCATTCCGTGCTGTTACTGCTGCTTCTTTCTTAAAGGAGGAGGAGTCCTTACACCCTTTTCCCCTGCTCCAGTGGATCCCCTACTCACGAGGAAAAATCCACAAACTTCTTCAGCGTGAGTCCAGCCCACAGGGTGCAATCCTTCCCCACAGATTGCTCCGGTGTGGGCTTTACCACAGTCTCGGGTACTTAGGGAGCTGTAGCCACTCACTCCGGCGTGGGTTGTCACGCAGACTCCAGATGCCTCTCTGCCTTGCCGTGTGTCCCAACACGACCATCCTCAGGCTCAGGCATCTCCTCTCCACGGGCTGCGAGTGGGTCTCTGCTCCACTGAGGCCATCCTGGTTGCAGGGGGGCCGCCTGCCATCTCACCACCAGCTGCAGGGGAAACTCGGCTCCGGCAACCCCCCA